TCAAATGCTCAACATATACTAAATGGAGTCGTGTTAATTTTAACGAATCAATTAACCGTATATTCAGAGATTGATGGCATACAACAGAAAAGTCAAGTTAACATCGATTTGCTAACCTTTGGAATTATGAAAGGTTGAAAGTAAATTAGATGTCAAAATAACAATTAAAAGTTTTCAAATAGAATATCAAAAAATGTTCATATCCATTATAAATGGCTAAGAATATACTTCTTTCGATAACCCTGCGATCGGAACAATATTTATTCTTTTATCGTATCATGATCTAACATTTAATATAATCTTAAATATTATTTAGCTGCTCAAAGCGACCTAGAGTGGATTTAAAAAAAAACAATCTCTGCAAACCTGGATTTATTGAAACATTAAACTGCAAAATTGCATTGCCCGGAGACCAAAAAAGTGATATACGAGATCATATGAAGCCCTGTATGAGATAACACTGATCCCGCTATAAAAAGGACAGAAAGACACTCGGGTGCGCAACAATAAAAAATGTTCCTTAACTCGTCCACCGTGCCAATACAACCAAGTGCGAGCGATGGACAGCGCTTTTCAGATGTTTATGCTGATACAACCCAACAACTGTCCCCGGGTAATATTCTCTACCAAACAAACGAGCACACCGACGAACTAGAAACTGGTCCGAATGACACTTTCGTATTTCTGAAGCCGAATATGGCATTGTTACGTATTCCTTCTTATTGTTACGCCCTTTTCAGTATTTATATCGCTTTCATGCTGACCTGGAATCGACGACGAAAATTACGAAGTCCCCGGAAAACGAGTAGAAATGAGGAAAAAAATTATTTTGGAAAAACATTGATTTTCTGCCGCATTTTTGCAGCGTATTTCTCATCGGGGTATTTTCTCTACAGCAGTATTTCATTCTGGGTGGAAAGCCTTCCTAGTACCAATTGCACATTATTGGGAAAAAGCGAGAATCTTCTGTATTGGCTTAACATTTCAGCTATATACGTGGTGTTATGGCTCCGACAGCGTTCAATATACGGAAAGTCTACTTTGAAGCACTTAACAACGAAAGTGACTTCATTCCTTAGCAACGCCGTTGGCGTCATGGTTGTGTTGTTACCGATTGTGAATTCGACCTTGTTTATAACAGCAACAGTGTGGCATAGAATCTATGGAATATGTTTTATTGAAAATCTCGGATTTCTACCTGGCGAAGTCCTCACAACGTCTGAATTTATTGTTCCTGTGGTGTTACCGTCCACCTTGCTTGGTCTATTTGTTTGGCCGTTATTGCGCCACCATCTGACTACGGGAAAAGACTTTCAAGGGAGTAATTCAGTTCTACCAACAATTCGAAAAACTGCCATCCTTACTTTTTGCTGCCTCGTAACTGATATGGCGGCAATGACTTGCAATTTGACAATTTCTATTTTTTATAGTTTTATCATGCGGCAGACTTCAGTCTTCACAAACCTATTTTTCCTAAACCTTGCATTTTCTGACTGGAGAACAGTTATGTTCCCTTGTTTTCGAACAAAAAGTTTAGGGATATGGAAGAAGCATGTTCGTTCGTCATGGTCAGAAGCGGCTATTGGCGTATGGAACACAACAGTGGTTGAAAATGGAAGCCAATCAAGCGGCTTTCTTGGAGAGCGCAGTATTCGATATTATCAGAATGAACACGCTGCAAATTAATATTAACGAAGTAATACTGCTTCCTTACGAATTATTTTTCATTCTTATATTGTTTATTCACTTAAATGATTCATGCCATCAAAATATTCGTGTTTTTATTCCTCAGTTATTTTATCTTTAAACTTGCAGTAGTCTGCAGCCTGAAAGTATAGAGCAGTTGGCACTGTAGTTGCTCAAAACACGGCCTTCCAGAGATTAGTTTGTACCAGGTGTGGTATCTCTGTCCACTACGATCGTACATGTACAACATGTACATTCAATGTATTGAATTTATTCTTATGTATATAATTTCACTAATTCGATTGAAATATAATATGACAAGCCGGTAGTCGCCCAGTATGGATCCCCGCCGATGCCGACGTCATTTCAGGGTTATTAACCGATAGTGGAGCTACCAGTTAATTTTGTGCGCTGTGTGTCTTGTCGGTATTCTGACGCATACGATGCGCTGCAGCTAATAATCAAAATATGGTTACTGGGTTCCAAGGCTTCTCCAGGACGTTTAAGGAATATTTAGAGACGATTTGTTCGAAAGCGTATTTTCGTCCGCGAAAGTAAGCGTTCTCGGAATTTTAATATTCGATTCAGTTGACCCACGTGAACATTTTCATCCTGCTCTGTTCAGCCGTTTGGACGCTGCATCTGGACAAATAGATAGGCCTACAAAAAGACTGAGAATAAGGGTTTCATAGAGCGGATATCAAAAAATACAAACGCAAATGAATAAGCAACATACTAGCGCATACTGATTGCCGAATACAACTGTTGTATAGTGTTATTAACATACAGTATATTTGAATAACTTACCAACATCATTGCGAAACTTTAGAAGAGGTTTCCCAATGCCCAATCTAAATACAATTTCGTCAAAATCGTGAAGGAGAAATGCGTTGTCCAATGCCAAAAAATCTGAAAGTATGAACAGAGGGAAAGCATTAGCACAGCGGTTCTCAACATTTTTTCTTTCGTGGCCCGCTTTCGTTGCATAAAAATTCGGTGGCCCACTAACTTTCTCATGCAAGGAAAAAACTACAAGAAAAACAAAACTCTGTTTGCGAAAATAAATTCTGTCACTTCAAGAATTGGAATAAAAAGCAGCAGCATCATTCATTTGCTACTACCATAAAAATTTGAATATAATGAAACAAATGAAACCAAACTTTTCAATAACCAAAGTAGTTTTTAATAGACTTGAGGCCCACTTGAAAATGTCTTTATCGCCCAGCAGTGGGCCATGGTTGAGAACCAGTGCATTAGCAAGACAATAGCGGAAGAAGTCTTGGCCTCGTGGCACGCGACATTTGTGTGATGTCATAATTTGAATAGTATTAAATGAATAGCATTGATCACGGTAACTGCTCGAATATTTTGGAATAAGTTTGTACATTTAAACACTGTAACTCGCGGGATCACATTTAAAATAAATGTAATCAATTTCGCAATATCAAATTATACGAGGAAAGTTTATGCGGTCAAGGGTCGGATAACACAATCTCTCAAGCTGCAGTACCATCTTATGGCTTAAAATTATAAGCTGGTAGAATAAAGCTGTTAACCTGCCCACATCCAGGCATCTAATTCACATTCATACCTATAAATTTAAATTTTTGTCCTATTCGGAAATATCTAATTGCCACTTTTCTTCTGCTGGTGTTCCCTGGATCTCAACAAGTCCGGAGTTATTATTAATAAAAACTGTAGCTGCATAACTTAAGTTGTATCAGTGGGTAAAGAAGTTTGATTAAGTACATTCATTTTGACATGAATAGACTATGAATCTAGGCCCTTCCCTTAAATAGCGCAATTTTATGCTTATTTAATCGATAGAAATAAATCTCTCCTATACGTTTTTAAAATGAATAATAATCCATGTTTTGCAGTTATTTTGAATAAAATGTTTCATTTATAAGTAAATGGATATCGGTTTTCATATTTTGTATGCTTGAAAATCTTGTTATTTTCTACTTTGTAATTTTTGTTTGTTTAAAGGAAAATAAAAGACATACTCCCAAAATAAGCCCTAGTGTTATTTTCGGAGAAACACGGTAGTTCATCTGCAGCGTTTGGGATCATCATCATATAGCGAGTGAATGCTTATTATTCTAAGATGATACGGGATCTAACACTGTGTCGTGTGAGAGCGTTTATAAATTGATCAATATGTTGTGTGTTATTTTTGTCAATTCTTCACTGCTGGTAGCGTTGTGTTTTCCTAATAAAAATTCACAACGATATGCGATCACCCGATAATAATGTTTGCAATTATGTTCCGACATGAATAACATTCTGCAAATTGTACAGGAAATTATATTTGCGCTGAATTCGGTCATCTGTCGAGTCGCATTTCCAACCTTTTCGTAGCGAACCCCGTGCTAGAGCGTTCGTAGGATAGTCAGTTAGTCATATTTGCAGTTAACAAAATAACATCGTGCATTCGGACAATATTGAAAGGAGAGTTATTACTCATCGATATTAAGATCGGTAAGTATGTTGATGGGTATTTGTTTGTTTGTCTGTTAGATGCACGCGATATCGCAAGAGAGCGAGGTTTAATCTCCACCAAATTTTGCATGTATATAAGTCTTCGGTCTCTGACCGATATTCTCGTTTTAAATTAGCTTCATCTGTGTATATGGAAACTTTATCAGAAAGAATGTTGCCCAAGTTTAGCCGAGTAAAGCAGACGTATATTAATATTAGCAAAATATAATTGAAAATGAGCATATCATAAATAAATTCAGCAGAAACGTCCATTTTTTAATAAGGTATTTAAATTTAATGTAATAAATTTTGTTCATATATTCAAAACATGTTCATAATGTATAGACAGTGCAATAGAATAAATTATTTACTAGTGATACATACCACGTTTACTATATCTCGTTTATTGTGGCCTTTTCCTTAAATACAAGATAACATAATGAATTATTTCCTAACCATACATATTTAAAGCAGTACAGGGACTATCTTGTCTGTGGCTTTTACACTATGTTTTAAATCCTACTCTGCATAACATTTATCCTTCAAAATGCGCGGAATTTCTGAAGGGGAGGAACATAGCTGATAGCAGCTTTTTTTCGCCACCTTATGCCTGACCCAACATAAAGTATTAAAAGCAAACAATTTTAAATATAACAATTTTTTGTTCTCCCGAAGCATGTGCACCAAGAGGGCGCACAACCTGAACCTGGTACACATACTATTATCAGGTTGTGCGCCATCTTGGTGTACATACTTCGGAAGCTCCCAATTTTTTGAGTTCGTCACTTTTAAACTATGCAGTACTTACCAGTACTACATATTTATTTCCTCATTCTCTGTAGATATATGTAACACAATTATATTCTCGATATTTTTTAGTACATACAAGAAATAATACAGGCTATATATACTTTAGGGAAGCCTAATGTGTCGATGTGACTATTCCGAAATGAGTACAGCGGCTTTGGATGTCAATTGTCCCCAGTGAGAACAGAATTGCTCTACTAAAAGTTTTAAATAATCTATATATGACTTGATACAAGAAACACTGTTTAATTGTGAAATACGTTTTTCAGCACAGCACCGAGTGATTACAGGTGGCAAATTCTAACACATACCGTCATATATATATATATATATATATGAACGTGTTGGAACGTTTTACACACTCAAGTCAATTCAATACCCAAATACGTTGGTAAAATTCTATTCGTGAGGATAGTTTGAAAATATTTCGACATTTTAGTTACTTGAACAATTTCAAATGCAGAGTGGACAGAAAGTTTATGTTTGTCAACACTGTGGAAAAAGTGTTTTGAAAAATCCTATCTTAAAACGGCATATTCGAATCCACACTGAGCCATATGTTTGCAAACATTGTGGAAAGCGTTTCTATTCAAATAGTCATTTAAAACAGCATGAACGAACTCATACCGGAGAAAAGCCATACGTTTGTAAACACTGTGAAAAGCGTTTCTCTTCATGTTTTAATTTAGTAATACATACTCGAACCCATACAGGAGAAAAGCCATACCTTTGTAAGCAATGTGGAAAGAATTTTTCTGTGAATTCAGTCCTTCAACGTCATATTCGAACCCATACAAGAGAAAAGCCACATGCTTGTAAACACTGTGGAAAGCATTTTGCTACAAAGGAAGATTTAAAAACCCACATCCGAACTCACACTGGAGAAAAGCCATATGCTTGTAAACACTGTGGAAGACGTTTTTCTGGAAATTCTGAATTAACTATCCATGTCCGAAGACATACTGGAGAAAAGCCATATAGTTGTGACCACTGTGTCAAGCGTTTCTTAAGCGCCTCCGATTTCAGAAGGCATACTCGAATCCTCACTGGAGAAAAACCCTATGATTGCAAATATTGTGAAAAGATTTTCTCAAACACTTCTGATTTAAAAAGGCATATTCGAATTCATACTGGCGAAAAACCGTATGTTTGTGCAATGTGTGGAAAACCTTTCAAGCAAAATGGACAATTACAAGTACATACGCGGATTCACGCGAAGTAAAAAACAATTGCAAAAATTGTTTAGTCTTTCCTGTATGAAAGGTGCGAAGTTATAATGTACTGTAAATTGTTTCAATTATAACGGGAAACAGCAAAAATGTTGCGGTCTGTTTTGCATGTTGCTGTCTGTTGTCCAAGAATTTTCAATTTACTGAAAAATTTTCGGAACAGTTTTATTAATTATAATATATACCAATACTAAACAAAATACTATATTTTAATCTGCATAAAATGCGATAAAAGTAGAATCGTCAAAAACAAATTGACTAATATCGGGTCTGTGGTAAGTTCGTTATGATTAAACTTCCAACACAAATCTTTGGACATTTCGAGAATTGAAAATAGTTATTGTGTAGATTTTATCGTCACTTCACTGACACAGCTCAAATGATGGAGCTAGACTATTTAGAAAGCTCCTGTTACGGTTGAACGTACGATTAGTTTAATAAAATATTATAAATTGCGAATTCCACAGTGTTGTAGCGACATTTGGTGTGATACTTACTCTATATGAACTTGTTCAAGCACTATTGGGCCTTTTCAAATAGGAAAGAACGGTGTTCGTGTAGTATGTGAAACAAGATGGTGGACACCACAACGTAGTATGTGTACCAGGGTAGGATTAGGCCATCATTTTATTCCAATTTTCCCTATTTCAGTTCTATTACGAGTTCCGGTACTAGCCAAGTGACTCCTGTAGTATTTGTACCTGAAATTATGGGCTAACCCTAACTCGGTCCATATACTACGTACTAGAGATGTACCGATACCACTTTTGTCGCCGATACCGATACCGATCCGATACCAATTAAAAACGCCGATACCGATACGCCGATATTGCAAAACGGCCGATATTGCCGATATTCCGATACCGATATTCCGATACTATGAAAATATTACCTCATGTGTGCAGGGCAGTCGGGTTAAAACACTAGTCGTTGAGCATTATTCATACCACACATTATTTCAGATTGAAAAAGGGTTATAATACATCATAGAAAATTGATGTTTGAGATTCAGATGCGTTAATTAATTTAGATGCATTGTGTACTGGACCTAGTAATCTCGGTATGCAATTGGAAAACTCATAGGCAGGGATATCCAATTCGAATTTAATATTAATAACGCGACCTTCAAATTTCGTATTACAGTATAAGAATATCGAATATCGCCCAAACATCGTAGCGCTGCCGTCCACGTTTTACTTGAAAACATTTCACATATATTTTGTTTTATGTTTTATCGTAATCGTGCGTCGCGACAATAAATTACAGTCGACATGAAAGGATTTCAATCAGCGCTGGCTAGAAATGCCTATGACACGACGAGGATGTTCCTGATTTTATTATTTCATAATATATATATCGCAAATATTATCGTATATTTCGAGATAGTCTGGACGGCCACGGCAATAAATATATGAGGAAATTGTATAGTTAAACGAAATTAAAATCAATGTAATCACAATACTGTATTTAATACCTGTGTAGAGCGAAATTTAGCTTGAAGATATCGATGATGACACTAGCGCGTAACGATAAACAGTCAGAATTTATCACCATACCAAAATGTGCGTATGCTGGTAATAAAGACGTTTCTACACTATGATTTAAAACTGGGAACCTAGTTGCTTACCGTAATGCTTATTAAATCTACTTTGTTAAAGGAATTTCATTCAAATCACATATGCCCTATGGCTGCTTTACAATGATAACATTATCAAAGCCTAAATTGTATGCCCCTGGATTTAGGAAAGTGAATAGTATTTATGTGGGGGATTTTACAATGTATTCGGAATTTCAGTATCGAAAATATTTTTAGAATGTATTCGAAATAGTCGATGGGTATGGTCATCCCTGCTTATAAGGTTTTGCTAACAGGGTGGTGAATAAATAAATATTTATCCTATCAAATTGATACATTAAGTTACGTGCGCAACATTTTGTTCCAATATAACGACATATTTTGTATTTTACAGATTAGAAAATCCACTAATATTCGATTGATATATTTATTCATAATTTCTTTGTAATATTGAAAACGTCTATATACAAATTTGGCAGCAAATTAGTTGAGCGTTTGGCTGATAAATAACTAAGAACAGGTCAGAATCCCATTCCCGTTTCTACTCGCGGGGATTGGGACGTGTGTGGCTCATAGTTCACGACTCCCCTAAGCAAAAAATAATTTAAACAGCAGTATTCCAACTTATTTTTTAAAACATTCTGAATCATATCAAAAAGGTAAACATATCGGAAATATCGGTCTTCATTCAGCCGATACCGATACACTACCGATACCGAAAAATTGGCCGATATTGCCGATACCCGATACCGATACATCGGTACATCTCTACTACGTACCGGTGTCCGCCATCTTGGTTCACATACTACGGGAGCTCCGAAAGATCAATGGTGAAGAATAGAATAAAATAATCCGATTTGGTAGATTTTTTATGTAGTGTATAATATTTATCCATTTATCATACCCGGACACCCACGGGAGATAAGCCATACGCTTGAAAACACTGTGAGAACAGTTTTTCAAAAATTCCAGCTTCAAAAGCCATATCCGAAATCATACTGGCGAAAAGCCACACAGTTCTAAAACCTATGGAAAGTGTACGACGCAGACTGTCGTTTTGAAATTTCATATTCGAATCCATACTGGAGAAAAAGCCGATGAAGGTAAATATTGTGCGAAGTGTACAGTAGCATTTTACATAGACATATTCGAATTCATGCAGACCGTGTGTATCTGCAAGCCAACTGATATTTCTTTGAGATCATAATTTTAAATATTAACCTCCGAATTATTGTCCACTGACTATTTTTGGCATTTGCATCCTTTCCCAAAAATGCAGGTGTTCAATATTATTTGAGGTTCAGTTATAGTCGTGCCGAACAGCGAAAAATACGTTTTCTTGAAATTTGATATGTGGTATAGACAGGCTTTGATTACACACCTCATTAAGATGCCATTATTTTTATTTGATATATATAGGGCACGAAACAAAATGTCCTAAAAACTTAGTACTAAACGGCCATGATCCGGTTGTGATTATACTTGTTTTTCAAATTGATAAATATAATGAACAATGGGAATTATAGATGTCTCAATATTTTGATATTCTCATATATATATATATGCTTTCGCAATGAATTCTGCAAAATACAACAGCAAATTTGTCCAAAACACCTTTCTTACCAAAAGGGAGACAGTCGAAAACTATAAATCCAATCTTTTGCGATATACATAAACAGTCCCAATGACTGTTTCATACAGTATAAAATCTTATGCTTCTTGTGGGTTTTTGAGATATGAGATAAAGTTTATTGCGTTTGAAACAAGGCCGTAAGTCGAAAGCCCGACTTTCCTGATAAGAGAGCGTTCGCGCGCCAGGCGGAAACCCACTTACAGGGTTCAAGCGGTTAATGAACTGTAATTTAAAGACTTCACCAATCATATTAAAGTAAAATCTCAGTGCGTAACACTAATGTCATGTCGCGTACAATACAATTCAGTGATTTCCCTACACCCCCCCTATAGGGGGTGAACACCCCCCCTAAAATTTCAAACACCCCCCCTAATTTTGAGGTGCGATTCCACACTAAGGGGTTCTAAACCGCAGTCTGCGGGACAATTACGGCCCGCGTGACGATTTAAAATGTCCCGCCGAACTTGAGTGAAATAGTTTAACCCTTCATGTGGTACCTTTTGAGTTTTAGATACCGTCTATTGTTACATCATTATCACAGTTTAAGCACGTTTATTTCGTAACAATTGAATTATTTCGGTATCTTATGTATACGTATGGGTATTAGGATTACACACTGCAGTATTTTAGATATCAGCCGTATATTAAGAAAGCTTAAAGATGTCACAAAACGAAAACTAGGCACTGAAGACAGACGTTTTTTAGATGAATGACAGCGTTTTTATTTCTTTATTGAAAAGAATCAAACTTCAGCGATTTGTCTTCTTACCAACAAAATATTTCAGTTCTGAAGGAATACAACATTATGCGACATTATGATCAGTTGACGAGCTTATTCCAAAATTTAATTCATACAAAAGTCAAACAAACATGTTCAAAAAAATTAGAAATGTGTAACAAAACAAGCCATAAGTAGCCATTCATACAATATCAGATGAGCAAGTAACTTCATTAGTCACTATCAGTTGAAAATTACTTGTTGAAACGTAGTAGTATATATTTACGGTTGAAAGCCGTGCTTGTTATCTATTCCCCGGGAATTCTATCAGCTAAATATTATAATTATTGATTTCATCACATAACAAACTGCGATGCTAGGTGTATCTAAAATCAAGCTTAGAGCCTATTTTGGTGCCTATTTCTCAAAATTTTCTCAGGACGCTTGAGCGCGCCCTGAACCCCAGCCGTGTCGTCCCGCACTTTTCCTCGCTCCCCTTTTTTGGCCCTACAATTACATTCTGCTGTGGATTTTGGTTCGCGTCAATCAACTTGGGGGGCCCCCATGTAGCCTACATCGTTTCTTAAATACATACCATTTTTTAAGAATACAAACAGCCTAGTTTTATCTCTAACAGCAAATTATTTACCACCCTCTAAATTTTGAAACACCCCCCCTAAAAAGAAAAGCCGGGGAACATACTGCAATACATCAAGATGGCATGATAACCCGATGTAGAAAATTAGTGATCGATTTATCGACAAAATGAGTATCAAGAATACAAGGTAAACTGTCTATATTTTCCAGACTCTAAGATTAATACTTTATAAAGGAGTGAGCAAAATGGCTTTTAAACTAGGAGATTTATGATATAAGTCCGAAACAGGAAGGAACTTTGAAAAAATTGTTATAACATACTGAAATCTGAAGTTCATTTGAGAATTAATTGGCGAAATATTGACTTAAACAATAATATGCTAATCTTCGATGGGTCAAAAATAAAAATTATGATAAAGAATTTTGCCGCAATAATAGCAAATACTCGAGTGACAACTTCAGAACTAGGCACTTTGAGTTCACGGATCATTTTGAGCCCTGTGTCATCGTATATCCGGTTATCGTCAGCGCTGGATCCATATGCAGTCTGACAATTTCGTGTAGTAGTTTAGTAAATTGGGGCGCGATATACTGCTTTATTTGTATACGGTTTTCATAATTCAGGGATAGCTTGTAGAGTAGTTTATCTTCTATACCTGTCTGATATGCCCGTATTTGGGCAAGCCGTGGATCAGTTATTATTGCCATTTTATATCTTGTAACTTAAATTTGCTTCCGACTCGTTTACTAAATCAGTTAAACGGAAGCCATAGGCGTTCGATAACAGTAGATTCAGATATTTATTTCGTTGTGCTTGAAATATTGTACACACAAAATTAAGCAAACATAATATTGAAAATATAAAATAAACAAACATACAATATTTCCGCAATTGACGCGGGACCGCGAAAGACTATAAAGTAAGTCATCGTGTCAGCGACACCTTGTTTGCTGAGTTGAAAAGCAGATGAAATCAAACAAACGTTACTAAATAAAAATTATATCATCATGACTTGGTGAATAAATCCAATTTTGAAAATATAAATTAAATATTGCGCAGTCAAATGGAACTCACTTTTGCTTTGTAACGTCATGATCGGTGAGCGTAAATACAACAAGGAGATTGCTTTTTAACACGACGCGATAAAGCGTAGTTAGCAACCACAAAACAGGATAATCGTTTTATGTGCTTACAGTTACAGAAAATCAATGAAATTTAAATTCGACAAAAGAAACATTAATTCAATAGTTGGAATAAGCCACACTACAGAAATTGAGTTGGATAACGCATGCACAATAATGAAAATATTAAGTATATGCTTTTAGATACGGTAATCTATCGTTGCCGACGATAGAGTAACAAGCGTTAAATAAAAATTATGTCATCATGACTTTCTCAGTAAATTCAATTTAGAAAATATAATTTCAATATTGTGCGAGTCAAATAGGGGGGGAAATGACTAAAGTAGTCATGTTTTGCATTGTAACGTCACGGTCGGGTGAGCCTGAGTACAACAAAGAAAATTGCTGACTAACATGACGCGATGAAGCATTAGCAACCACGGATATCGTTTTTTGAAAACCATTAAATTTTAATTCGGCAAGAGAAATATTATGATATCAATAATTGGAGTAAGCCACACTACAAAAATTGAGATAAGACATATACAATAATGGAAATATTAAGTATATGCTTTTAGATACGGTAACCTACCGTTGCCCCAGTCTGGATTTCATGGACTTTTTGAACGATAAATCGGGCGTGCAATCAGAAGCAAATAAGAATTCCTGGCGTGCAAAACAACTGCGCCCGCGTGCAACTGACTTTGACATTAGATACCTCTCGGCTCTCAATACATCCGCTTAAAATTACCGGTATCGATAAAAAATACGTTAAATCAGAGCAAAAATGGACGTTTGACCCCAAACATTATTTCTACAGTTTGTCGCTAATTTTGAGAGCGTTTGTGCGACTTCAGATACCGGTAGTGTTCAGTACATCCGCGTAAAATTATTGGATAAAAAATACGTTAAACCAGAGCAAAATGGACATACTTTGTCATTAATTTTAGGAGTGTTTTTACCTATAATTAATGGATAAAAAATACGTCAAATTACAGCAAAATGGATGTTTGACTTTTGACCCCAAACATTATTTTTATACTTCGTCACTAATTTTGAGAGTGTTTGTGCGACTTTAGATACCGATACTGTTCAGTACATTCGTGCATTATAATATTTTGGCATTTTTAGATTACTGGATTATTGATTTTAAAACCATTTAAACCGATTTACATTGGTGAGCGATTGCAAATTTCCGGCGTGCAAAATTGAATTCGCTCGCGTGCATTTTTGCGGAGCACTAGCGACCTCGGGCGTGCACCTGCCGTGGAATCCAGACTGGCCGTTGCCGGCAGAGTCACGAGCGTTAAATCTGAGTGCCGGTACCGTACTACTGTACTAGTAAGTTTGTGATTTGGGAGGTTCATAATATTGAACATTATACACTAACAGCTATAGAAATAGACATTGAAAATGCTAGTAGCATTGGATAATTATTATTGAAATAGGGACTACATAAAAGCCAACATACCGGTAGACTACCGGCAGCCCACAATATTGAAAACAAAAAAGGTAAACCTGAAAACAGGCAATGAAAAAAAATAGCATAACAACTGCAGGACTGGGGGAATTACTGACATATATAAGCATCAAGGTAACGATTTTTCAACATTTGTTTAAATAAATTATAATTTTTGCAACGAATTGAAACAGGAAGCGTGTTCCATAATTTTTCACCAATAAATTTGATGGAGTTTTGTGTACGACTTGAGGAATAACGACTAACATAATATGAGCTAATGGCAGAAGATCGAGTAGCATTTGAGTGAATAGTGCTCTGCTTAACAAAATATTTGGTGAAAGCAACAGGCAATTTATTATTATGATGCTGATGCATGCATCTTCAGCACCTCAATTTTATATACATCTGCCATTTTGTATATTTCTGTATTTGCTTGTTATGATATTGGGAATCTAGTTTTGATCTATATCCAGCATCAGTAATAGCACGAATAGCCCTGTTTTGCGTCATTTCGATTCGATGTAATAAGGTTTTAAGTTTTCATGCACTTATTGCGAGAATTGTAATTCGGCTTCCCCAAAAAATTAAGTTTGTCACTTACACCGATACGAAGATAGTAGCTCAAAAGTAACTTATTTCAGTAAAAAAGCGTACTAGATTGCCTGTGACGAGGATGCTCACTTGTGAAATCACTAATAGTTATCGAAGTGTATCATTCGTATGGTTAGGGATGCCACTTTTAGATTCACTAATTTCAATCTTCTCTTTTCCGAATCGAAATCGCACGATTCGAAAAATGAGATCGATATCTCGAAGAAAAACAAACGCCATCGGCGTAAACCAGGGGTCTGCAAACTTTTGTCGCTCGGGGGCCAAAATTAAGGGTTGCAAGTCATTGGCGGGCCCCCAGTTTTTTTTAAAAAGTTGAAAACCGAACGAATGTGATACTTTTTAAAATAAAAATCAAGCAGTGATACATCTCTCGAATAGAATATGGATTTAATTCCTCGCTGTATCTCAAAAAAGTCCATTTGAATATTTTTGGTGACATTGAACTCTTTGCACTTAACATCAACTTTTCTGCGTTTTGTTGTCATTTGTCTAATTATAATTGAATTATAGGCTCATTAAACTAATACTTGTAAATTATATACTTGTTAGGTTAAAATATAATTTGGTCTACAGTTACACGTGTCCCACAATAAATTCTGTTACGTAAATAATACAATCGTCAAAAAAGCTGTTTTGTCACTATAATTCAGTGAAGCGTCGCGGGCCGGATTATATTACTCCGCGGGCCGTAGTTTGCCGACCCTTGGCGTAAACGCTGGTTAAATTGATCCATATCAAATCAATAAAGCAAAACATTTTAAATACGTTTGTATGCTCTCCGTTTAAATATTTTGCGCATCAGAAAACTCATTATCTGTGAGTTCTTTCCACGAGTGGCCTAATCCGCGGTTTCGTGGCGATGAATAGGTATTTGTTGTATAATGTACTCATAAACGTATGTAGTTTTATTGAACTGAAGTAAATTGTACTTTTTGGGATTTTATGGCCGATTATATTTGTAACGGCGATGACGAATTCGCAAGATTGCGAAAATACGTAACAAAACTGAATGCAATCCAGCAGATATCATGAATAATTTGGCTCTTTTTAACGGAGCGAAAATCATGTCTGCGCCCCTAAGTGAAATATTACAGTTGTGTATACTGGTGTGCGGCAACTGGAAGCAGTGCTGTTTCTATGTTTATGACATAACAAGGTGTTCCCTGAGCTTCTTTTATACATATCAATTTCATTAAATTGCCACAGTCCTGATGAAAGTACTGCATGTGTAATGCTCAAAGCTAAACATTGACAAACAACTCAGGATTGATGCGGCTGTTGGTTATTATTAGGACTGGGAATAGTTAACCGATTTCATTTGGCTAACTGTTATGATTTATTTTAACCGTTAACTGACATCTCAGGTACGAATCATCTTTATACCGTACAATTTCATCAAATATGATTACGTCATCGCAAATTTATCTTTTGCGGCGTTTAATTCAAAAAAATATTAATAACTGTGTGGGTGAGGAATCAATAAATGTTGCCATCCTTGCTACGCATATTTAGCATGTTTGTGGATTCGATTGTCAATTTTTTTCTCCTAAATTTTGATGTAATTAATGTGTGGCTTTTTCCAAACGTGCTCATTCAAGACAAAATAAATAAAAGAAGGATTCTGATCAGGAAAGATTCGATTCTACTTCGAAGTCCTGAAGTGACAACCCCTATCTATGTTACGGAAACTCATCTCGTGTTTTTGTTGATATTTTCAAACAGATAAACGCCAAAAACTTGTACTGTAGTTTCGCAAGAGTAAATTTTTTGTGAGTATAATCGAATGCTTTGTATTTTTCAGACTACTACAGTTAAATGCACGTTCGTTTACTGCGGACTTTAACAAGAGTGTAAACCAATAATCTTTACTTAAATCAAGATTCCAAAGACACGTATGAATAATGATTTACAGTAACGTTTGATAACAGGAGGCACATTCAAATTCATACTGGATAAGGGACATTTATTTCTAAAAGTTGTCGGAAAAGTCAATAGAATACTCAAATACGAATTCATAGTGCAAAACTATTTTTGAACATAAATTTAGCTGCAGATACATTGGCAAATGAATGGAGGACACAAAATCAATGCTTGTGAATAATGTGGAAAATCTTTCCAGCAAAGTCGTTTTTGCAATCCCACATGTCACACATACTGGGGAAAAATCCTACTCTTGTGAACTATGTGAAAAGTGTTTTTCATGGAAATCTAGTCTAAAACGACATAATCGAATTCATACTGGAGCAAAATCCTACGGTGATCGGTCTTACGATTGTAAAGACTGCGGTAAGTGTTTCTCTTCAAGTTCTCACTTAAAAAGACATGTGCGAATTCATACTGGAGAAAAGCCATTTGCTTGCGAGTATTGTGATAAGCGTTTTGCCTCAAATTCTGACATGAAAATCCATATCCGAAGTCATACTGGAGAGTACCCGTACGCTTGTAATCATTGTGGAAAAGGTTTTTCTCAAAGCTCTGATTTGAAAAAACATATTCAAAACCATACTGGTGAAAAGCCCTACTCTTGTGAACTGTGTGGGAAACGTTTTTCGTTAAGAAATCATGTAAAACGACATATCAAAATTCACTCAGGAGAAAAACCACATGAATGTAAATACTGCGGTAAGCGATTTGTTGAAAAATGGAACTTGAAAAAGCATACCCAAACTCATACTGGGGAAAAACCGTATGCTTGTAAATATTGTGGAAGATGTTTTACTAATAATGTTCTGAAAGTCCATGTTAGAATCCATACTGGAGAAAAACCATTCGATTGTGAATACTGTAAAGCGAAATTCTCGAGCTCCTCTTCTTTGAAAAAGCATATTCGGATGCACACTGGAGAAAAACCGTATAAATGTAATTTTTGCGGGAAGTGTTTTGCGGACAGTAGCAATTTAAATGGACATATTCGAATTCATACTGGAGAAAAACCATATGCTTGCATGCATTGTAATAAGCGTTTTGCTGCAAATACTAACTTGAAAAGCCACATCCGAACTCATACTGGTGAGAAACCCCACGCATGTGAATATTGTGGAAAATGTTTCTCTGGAAGCTCTGATTTGAAAACCCATATTCGGACCCATACAGGAGAAAAGCCATACGATTGTAAATACTGTGAAGCAAAGTTCTCGGACAAATCCGTTTTGAGAAGGCATATTCGAATTCACTCAAAACAACAACATTCAAAACCGCATGAATGTAATTACTGCAGTAAGTGTTTTGCAGCCAGTAGTAGCCTCCGTAGACACATTCAAGTACATACAGACGAAAAACCGTATGTTTGATTTGCAAGTGCATACGCAGACACACTAGAAGTAGAAAATAATTGCAAAGATTGTTAATATTCTTTTGAGTATCAAATGAGTTGTAAAGTTATAATGTATTGTGGATCGTTTGAATATAGTGGAACGACGCAGAGATGTTTATGGTCTGTTTTTAATACCAAGAATTTTCAATTTACTGACAGATTTTGGGAGCAGTCGTACTATTTATATTGCATAAACAAAGTACTGTATTTTTTGAATATTTCGAATACTGGGTTTTGAAGGTACAAATCGAATACTCTGATATATCCAAAGAATGTTAATTTCGGTAGTAAGTACTAATGGAGTGCTGTACAAGTGGAAGTAGTTGAAAATCTATGGGATCTGATTTACGTAATTAATAGGGAGGGGAAATACCAATCTGGTTTATTCACTTGGTGAAACACGGCTTCTCGTCCGGCTGGCACTTCACATCAGGTATGGGATTAAAGAATATCAAATCTTATAGAATTCATGGAAAATTTACGATCAAATAAAAGTAATAGCCTTCTGGATAAAAAAAATCAGACTTTAACCACTGAAAATTTCAAAGCAATTGGTCCAGTATTCGAAGAGAAAAGCGATTTTTTAATGATAATGACGGAGACAAGAGAGCTACGCCCAAATATATGGATACGTCTGTTCGCAGTACGGTTTACGGTACCGTCAGATCACAGTCTACATCCTTCTGGGGAAAAATTTTATCTTCAACCACTCAAAATTTCAAAGCAATTGGTCCAGTATTCGAAGAGAAAAGATTTTTTTAAAAATGAAACGATCGTTATGTCCATTTCGTGTCCAATAAACGAAATCCAGGTTGGGCTGTAATTCGGCAAACAATACTGTTGAATGCATAGTGTTTTTTTTTCGAAATAAGATTCTGGAATAAAAAAAAAATTGGGACTCGCGGGAATATATAAATAATTAAATTCCGATCAGTTAGTTTGTACAAACATTAGTTTGTATAATAAATAAACCAAAATCCCATCTCGGCGATCTCATGACATCCGCGCTTCATATGACATCGTGTTAAATTAGTGACAGAATTAGTTTTACGGTTTATCTTTTTGCAGAATGGGATGCTGGGAATTGGCGGCCAGGATAATCCAGGTAAAAACTAGGCACCTTTCATTTGTCATTACATCTACTGCGGTTACCCCGCCAGTGGTGCCTGGAGTCGTTCTCGCACCACCACGAGCGATACTTGAAACAGCAGGTCGCCTAAACGTACGTAAATGGCCAATTTTTGTTAGTAAATATTGTTCGGCTACCTTTTTTTTGTATTTGTATGATTCTACCCCCTCATAAGTGACTCTGCTTGATAACCATGACCGGTTTAGTACGTCTCACTCCACGCTGAAATACATTATTTATATGTTACCCTACTGTTTGTAAACTGTCGTATTTTTGGTATGTGAAAAAATAAACTACTGACTGACCGATTTACATATTCATCCCGGGGGTGGAGAAAAAAGACTATAATACGGCTCAATCATAGGGGAACCACGGCAGGTTACCAGTCCATGTCGGTTAGACATTAGTTAGCCAGTTATTTGTTTCAGATGTATGGACGTGATCGTAGAGAAAGTCACATTCTTCTCTTCCAATAAACATCGAAACGCATTGGCATTGCATTTACTGTTATCATTCTGATCAAATATTTAATCTATATAAGTATTACAAATACGAAGTGACATTCCTGCTTCGGCGATATACTGTCTTCTAAATGAACAATATTAAGTGAGCTGCAGTGACTAATTCTACTATGGGAGCTGCATTGTATAAAAAGCATCAAAAGTCGAAACTGCTGTACATTTGACTGGCCAATAGCCTTTATAAGATACGCCGGTACTTCTGAAGTATGCGCACCAAGATGTCGCATAGCCTGAACCTTAACCTGGTACACAACCTGAGTTGAGGTTGTGCGACATCTTGGTGCGCATACTTCAGGAGGTCCGATACGCCATTATACACCTAAGCAGTGATAACACCTCTTTGGAGGAATCATGAAAATTGATTTTTATTTGGCAGCAATAGCGACTAGACTTCAAGAATAAAGAGATCGACAGTCAGGATGAGAAAAGATATATGTGACTGAAGTGCCTGTCGTTTGGCCCTCGCGATACCTTTCACCTTTTTAGGGCTGGAAAATTATTTTTTTAATCGAGTTTTTACGCCTTTCAAACAAGTCTTTAACCCCCGCGATAGTATTCACTTTCTTAGAGCTACGTTCTTCATGCCTCTCACTCCCAACTGGTATGCGAGACACTACTATTTGTAGAAAACCGGAATTTGGCTTTATAATTTATTACACAACGTGGTGATGGTAGTGATCTTTAATCTACTGACGCTCTAGCACTGACATGGGCAACCGTTCTTTCTTTCGAAACACTTCGCGCTGACGGCGAAAAGTGGCTATTATTCGGAATTATTCAAATATTTCCAACTTACTTTAATATTCGAATATATTTGATTCGTTCTGAACAACTCTGCCTCGACCTATTTTAGCGTCAAAAAAATTGTCAATACAAGTAAAGGTGGGCGGCGAAGTAAAACTCTCCGTGAAAGCGGGCCGCAATATAAAAAAGTTGAGAAGCACTGATCTATACCGAAGATGGCAAACCTTCATTGCTGAATGGGAAGAATTTCATATATAATTTTATTATACTTCATATTTGGTGAAGTTTGTTGTTTGAAATGATATCATTAGATTGAATTTATCGTGCATGAGTAAAAAATTGTATAAGCTATTTTATTCAATGTTCTCCAATTCTTCACATGTCCTCTGCGCGAACTTGAGTTAAACAACCTAATTACTTCGTTACGCAGCTACGTTTTGCAGTTACGTTGCAACGTAGCGGTTCTGCGTTCCTTATCAAAAACACATATCGCTTTCCCTCGCAAGTGTGAAACGTCATTAACTTATCTTAAAAGCAGGGATCTCCAACACTGCCGGCGTCATAGTTGAGATTTTTCCAGAAAAAAATAAAATAGTACGATGTCCACTATGAGTTTTATCGTGTTATTCAACATCAAGAGTCCGGTGCGACAAACTATAAAAAGTAAAATAAAATTTTGCAACCGTTATTCCACTTTAACACGTTTATATTTTATTCTATTGTAATAATTAAATTGTAAATTCAATCCTCTCATTTTGCGTTTTTATTTTGACAAAATAAACACGTTTTGGCCACATCATTGAAGTGTGAAGTTATGAATCATTAATTACTTATCGATCTTTAGATCGGTAAGTATGTTGATAGGTATTTGTCTGTTTGATGCACGCGATATCTCACGAAGGCGTGGTTGAATCTGCTCCATTTTGCATGTGCATTCATCATATCTCGGACCAGAAGTCTATTGATTTTGGATGAATAATGTCGTATAATTAGCGAGTTATTAATTAATTAGTGATGGACTATAGAGTGACTATAGAGTCATGAATCGAAACCGCAGTTTCGATCGATAAGTCTTCGGTCTCCGATATTCTCGTTCAACATTTGTGCAGTTAAAGCAAAACAAGATTATTATTAGCTTTTTATAAAAAAGTAAGCCCACACGCATGTCCAAGAAGCGTAAATGTTAGAAAGAGCACAGAATGTTTCAAGAGAAATGGAAGGATGTGTATTTTGTATTAAATTATAATAACAAGGTTCAGTGTCTCAAATGTTGTGCAATTATTGCTGTTCGATAGGAATACAACATTCGATGACTCATCACATTGGGGGAACCATGTCTATACTGAAAGAATTCGTCACAAAAAGGCATCGCAATTAAAATTTTCACTGATGAAACAGAGAATTTTTTTTCAGTCATAAACAAAACTTATGAAGCTTCAGTGAAAGCAAACGTTTCCATAAGTGAGATGATTGCGAAATAGCCGCGTTCTTTTGTTGAAGGAAGCTTTATTAAAGGGTGTATGTTGAAGGCCTGTAAAATAATAGCAGCATTATTTGTGATTCAACAAATAAAGTTAACAAATCAGCCTGTCGCTCACGACTAACAGACGAGCGTTTGCATGCTGTCTAGACTAGCAAAACAACGCAAAATAGGGCCAAACATCGAGTCTCTCATCGCTACAAAACGGTGCCAAATATCCAGCACAAGTAAATGAATATGTTTCATCTTTCATGTCTTGTTTTGTGTAAGATTCAAGTATAATTTCAACTAATATATTCAGATTTCATTTGTTATTTTTAGTGTATTCATTTTGTACCTAATTTGTTGGTTTGTGGCCCGCGTCGTCGATAAATGTCAAAAAGTGGCCCGTGACGTATTTTGAGTTGGAGACCCCTGATCCAAAACATGCGTTTAAAGCAGATATTATTTGAACTGGTATTGTGATACCTGTTATCAGTTAACACCATGCCGAACGTTTAAAGCCTGCGTTTTGCAATAGCCCATTGTGCGGCCTAATGAATTTCATCGAAGCGTACAAGTTGCACTTTATAACGTACAAAATTTGAAGACTAGTCGCCGCGACTGGCGTTACAGCACTTATCAACTCTTTGGCAGGATATTTCGATTCTCTTGCGTCGGAAAATGTGAAATATTTACTAGGTGATCTAGCGACGCCATCATGTCTTCCACTTTCTCGTTGATAAAACTTAATTGTAATTTTAATGATATCCACCAGTGAAAAATTAGCCTTCGTGTTTCCGGCAGAACCCTATAAACCGCGGGGTTTATGGTTCGGTTATTTAGTTACGTCCCATAATCAGATACCAAACTTATATAACATGGCCCTTGTTTATTAGGAATTATTATATATGTTTAATCAGTTGTTACCACAATCGTTACTTAACTCTTTCCGGTCTAGTGATAAAAATTGATAGTTTTACCCAATATTCATGCCACCCATCCAAAAAAAGCAGTCGTATTTTTGCGCGAAGTATAAACAATATTTCGCGCCAATATTGATGCCTTTCATAAAATATGTTCGCCAAGTTACTTTTGTGACAGATAAAGTTGACTGCTTGAAATATAATTTCCCATCTTGCCACAATGTCGCTTTCAAAATTTTGAAACGTTTTCTTAATATAAGGTTAAGTATTCACGCAAAGGAGGTGACAAATAAAATCATTGAAAAACAGTATGCTAGTAAAACTGCAGCAAGAGCTCAAGTCACATGGATAATATATATTATTTTATACACTCCAGATTATTAGATGTTCTTGTAATTTTGATATATACCGTTATCATCCATTCCATGTATGTGGTATATTTTTTTTTAATGTATTTTGGCGATGTACACCGTGTTGAAAATTTTATCATGTACAAATAGTTGCAAGTTTCTGTAGTGTAACTTGCATTGTAGTTCTGTCAGTTTGTTAAAAAAAGTTCTGTGCAATTAGCGATACTTACATCAGGAACTTTTATAATAAAATGTGTATCTCTTTGTTTAGTATTTTTGGTCTTATTGGGGGTTGATTTATCGAGTCAAGTTGGATGACCTTAAAACCTTAACTTTGTATATGCTGACCATACCGCCGAGCCGAGTTATCTGAGAAACATCTGCGGAAATTGATTTTTCCGAAAAATGTTCATTCGTTTTGATGCTGCAAAAGTTTGGTCCGAATTATTAAGCATTGTTTTTTTTTATTCTACTGTTTAACGATCACAGGTTTAAACCACTTAGTTAGGATCATACAGCGATAGAACTCTGGACACAAAATGGCGGGTGTGACGTCACACAAGCGCTTATAACGTTACCAATGCATGTCCTCACTTGTGTTATAGTCACTTTGGATATGGCCAGTTTAAAACGTGTTACGATTTCAGTAGTGTTTTGTACCTCATAATTCGGAAAAAGACTCCCACTAGTGCGGGGCCCGATTTGATAAAATCGGCTTGAAACCGGTCCTGGTTCGATGTATGGCCCATGTACCTGCTCATATTTTTCCATATCTCCCGAAATATAAAAGCATACTCTCGAAGAACAGTATTACTGTATTCGGCTTTGTTTCGATGAATAATTTATCATCTAGCAGTGATTCCCAACCTGTGGTACGAAGTGGCGAAGGTCTTCCAGGTGGTACGCGAGCACATTCTGTTTGTTTTTCAATCGACGATAGTTCTTAATTAATTGCGGTGCTTTTTTGAAGGCGTCGTGGTAAGGGACGTCTTTTTTGCTTCTGCCATTGTGACGTCATAGAATGTCTAAATTGTATGTGCGCGTCGCGAGCGCTGGATGGTACTGGTAACACACCAGGAGCTTGTCTAACGTGGTGGTTTGTTTAAGGAGGGTTTGTCATTGACAAATTTTCATTTATTATTGCGATAAATAGTATTTTTCATTTGACTTTATACCATGTCCAAGCGAAATTATGATCCAGATTATTTAAAATACGGTTTTATCTCGATCGAACACAAAGGAAAAGTTCTACCGCAATGCGTGGTCTGCATGAAGACCCTTTCCAACGCGTCCATGAAACCCAGCCTGCTTCTACGTCATCTTAGAACGAACCACGCTGATAGGAAGAATCGAGATCTGAGCTACTTCCGGCGACTTGCGGAGCAAATGAAGCGGCATCGTTTGGACAGAACTGGCTTATTCCACCAGAAGGGGACAAAGATTGTCAAAGCGTCGTATGAAGTCGCTTTCTTGGTGGCTAAAAGCATGACAGCTCATACCATTGCAGAGTCTCTCGTAATGCCGGCGGCAAAGATTTTGGTCAGACGTGTGATGGGAGAGGAGTCCGTGGCAAAGTTGGACAGTGTGTCCCTCTCTAGCAATACTGTAAAGCGCCGTATCGAGGAGATGTCAGTTGACATAGCCGATCAAGTTAATGCGGGAGTAAGAGCTTCAAAATTTGGGTTTGCAATACAGGTTGACGAATCCACAGATGTTTCGAACTGCAGTCAACTACTTGTCTACGTCCGTTTCACACAAGATAATGCTGAAAAAACAGAATTACTGCTGAGCCAAGAATTGTGCAGTACAACAAAAGGAAAGGATGTTTTCAGCGTTCTAGACAATTTCTTCAAGCTGAATGGACTGGATTGGCGCAAACTAATCGGATGCACGACAGATGGGGCTCCGTCCATGCTTGGTCGAAAGTCTGGGTTTCAAGCCCATGTGAAAGCCGTGTCACCAAACGTCACCGGTGTACACTGTTTTATACACAGATTCGCCCTTAGCGCCAAGATACTCCCACCGAAGTTGTTATCGTGCTTGAACCGAATTATTAAAATTGTGAATTTTGTTTTAAAGCGTCAGCTCTAAATAGTCGCCTGTTTAAGCTTATCTGCGAAGATCTCGGTTCCGATCACACTTGTCTTCTCTATCACACAGAAGTGTGCTGGCTCTCCAGGGGAAATACAACAAAACGTCTTTTTCAATTGAGGAATGAACTACTTGTGTTTTTTGGCAGACATTTTTGAAACCATCAACCGTTTAAATTTGTCATTTCAAGGACTAAACTGTACTATCGTAGAGTTTATTTCAAAACTGAGAGCGTTTGTCCGGAAGTTGGACCTCTGGAAAAATAACGTAGATAGCAAGCAATATGGAATGTTTACATCCTTGACAACCCTTCCCAGCGCGCCCAATGATGAAGTCTCCCACGAAATCGTTGATCACCTGTCACTGCTCAATGCCGAATTGAGGCATTACTTTCCGGATGTTATAGGTTGTGCCTACATAACCGATCCATTTTCTATTGATCCAGCCGACCTGCCTGTCGGGACTGGGGAGCAAGAGGAGCTCATAGATATCCAGGCTGACCAGACTGCAAAGACGAAACACAAAGAATGTTCTCCAATCAACTTCTGGCTTAGCATGGCTTCCTCATATGTGACGCTTGCTTCTCGCGCTATTCCCCAGCTGTTAATTTTTCCTTCGACGTGGGAGTGCGAGCAAGGGTTTTCATCCCTTATGACTATCAAATCTAAGAAACGAAACAGACTCCTTGAGCCAATGCATGACTTCCGATTAGCTGTGAGCAAATGTATGCCACGCATCGACCACCTCGTAGAAAATAAACAAATGCAGCCATCGCATTGAATGAATTGATTGTTTTGTTGTTATTTCATTATGTTGTTCTTCTTTTGAATAGTGGCGGAAAAACAATAACTTGCACCACATCAATCTTGGCTGATGCGGCCTAGTTTAATAGAATTTGTTGTTACACTTTGCATGAATCAAATACGTTATTATGTCGTCACAAACGGTGAGGAATAGTTTTTCGCGCGCATTATTTGTGTAGGTGGTACGCGAGCACTGCACCAAATCCCGAAGTGGTACGTGGGCGGATAAAGGTTGGGTAGATTCTAGAACGCACCTTGACTTGATTTTTTATAAATTCGTTACTAGAACCTAATAATATACTTGCAAATACCATTATAATTACGTTTTATTTTATAGTGTTAATAACAACTAGTTCCGTCTATAAAATGACCTCATTCGTTTTTTGACATTTTTCATGAATCATGATATTGTCAGACGTAGGCAATAGATGGATAGGGATATGAGAACGACGCGCACTTGGTTCGGGGAATGCGTTATAAACTTAATATTATATACGTAAAAGTATTCCGCGGTGTTCCATATATTTCAGGCGCAGTTATTTTTAGTAAAATCTTATCGAATCTACAGTTTATTAGGGGAACTCAGGCAATAGTCATGATTACGCGTTCCGGAATAAGCATGCGGTGTTGGGTCCGATAGAAAGGTTTGAACTTTAGAAGGCGAAGGCTATGCATGACTATCATTCGCGATATAATAACAAACGTTGTATTTGGCAACGTTAAATCTGACTGTTATAGTTCGAAAACATTGTAGGACAACATGTACAACCTTGTAGTTGCAAAACTTAGAAAAGACGACATACATTGTTAATGGGTTGAAATATCGTCTTCAAGGGTGTCGCTGCAAATTCATACTCAAAATACAGCGGAACTAGCTTTTGCTTGGTCCTGAATGATAAAAACACATATTTAAATTGCATCACCGAATACCCTTTTTCCAAAACATATATATTCATAATTCTCCGATCAAATAGTTTCGCTTGGCATTTTTATCCAAGCTAGATAGAGATAAAACGAAGTCTAATCAAAAAAATTACCTTCTTCGACCGCGTAGTCGTAACCCATAAATTTATGTAATATTCACGATTTTCATATAGGACCTGGACAAGCCGGTATACATTAAAGTGTTGTCTTCAACGCGGGCGCTACATTTTCATATATTATAAATACAGCGGAACTATCTTTCGCCTAGTCTTAAAGAATTAACACACATATTTTAGTAAAATTGCATCACAGAATAGCCAGGTAGGTCAACATTCCTAGTTATCGAATGAAGAGTTTCGTTTAGCATTTGTGGTAAAGCCATTAGCGATAAACGGTGACCGTACATTTGAACCCACGTACATTTGAACCAATGTGTATATCCACGGGTTCAATCTATATGCGGGTGCTAAAACCCATGGGTTAGGGTTAGTATGGGTTCAACTATCCGAAAAACAAAAAAAATTCCATAGGTGCAATAGCATACAGGTGCAATTGTCATGGGTTCAAATGTACGTGGGTTCAAATGTAATGGAACCGCGATAAACGTATGCTGAAGAGAGTCTAGCCCATGAATTTTTGTAATATTCTCGATTTTCTTGATAGTACAAATTTTTAGGTAGAAGTCCAATGAATGTAAATATCACTCCCAAAGAGAATATACAACACCCGTGACGACTTATAAATTGGACGAAACGAAATTTCGTTGCTCTGAATGTCAATGGCATCAGGTTTCGCGCAATTTACAGATTTTACCGTAAGTGATCTGGGTATATATTTCAGAGTTTTAAGTATATTGCTGCCACAAAGTAGCATGTTTGTGTAGGCAACAACAACTACAATTTTATGGGACTCTATGGGAATAATATCACGAATAGAGTCTATTTATACGAATTCAGTTAGAATCATTACGAGAAATGTTTGGTATCAATTTGATTTAAGAATTCATTCGAATTTTGTATCAAAAATTTTTTGATTTATATTTAATTTTATTACTTAAAATATAGAGTATTCGAATCATGATAACTATGTTTGCTGAGATTTTATACTTTTAATGTGAAATCATGATTTGCGTTTTACGGTATAAAATTTTGCGTTAATCGTGACTTTGTTAGAAAACAGAATATTCGAAATTAATGAAAACTTGTAATTCAAGAATATCATACTATGAAGATACAAAATTAGCTTGCAACGCAGAAAATATTGTCACTCTTCCGAAATATAAAAAATATTGTATTGCTATTGAATAAAACAGAATTAACGGTAGGGAGGTTTTTCACTACCGTAAGTGTGGTCCAACTAAAATCGTTCAGGAGGAGTAATAAACACCCACTAAATTTTTTTTCTAAAGTCAACAACAATTCAGTGGATATGTGAGGTTATTTTCCAGAGTGACGTACATTTGCCGTCTGTGCAAAAATCCACCTGAGAGCGACAATACCAAGTAATGTATATAATCTGTCAATGAACCAAGTCTGGGAGGTATATAATATTAATTGCCTGGCAAAACGAAGCGCGAGGAAAACACTTGAATCGGTAATTCAGGAAATTGAGGAATCCTTCCCTTTCCGACAGTCACGTTTTTGGCTATCTTTCGCGTATTTTACACCAGCATCATCGCTTTACAATGGACCGCGGAATTACATGATTGTAGTTTCAAACTCAGCTCAATGCCTGTAGTAGTTGTGAGAATAAATGAAGCGTGTTGGCGCGTTAAGATTCAAAATAATTTTATTCGAATTTATTAGAGAAAGATTGGAATTAGACGTATGTATGCTCTAATATCAGGGGTCGGCAACCTACGGCCCGCGGAGTAATATAATCCAGCCCGCGACGCTTCACTGATTTACACTAACAAAACAGCTGTTTTGACGATTATATTCTTTACGTAACAGATTTTATTGTGAGATGTAGGTGTCGTGTAGATCAAATTATATTATAATTTAATTATAATTAGACAAATGGCAACAAAATGCTAAGAAGTTGATGCTAAGTGCAAAGGGTTCAATGGCGCCGAAAATTTTCAAATAGCATTTATTGAGATGCAATGAGGAAATTAATTTATATTCTATTCGAGAGATGCATCTCTGCTTGATTTTTATTATAAAAAGTATCATCCGTTCGGTTTTCAACTTGATATGTGCGGCCCGCCAATGACACACAACCTTTAATTTTGACCCGCGGGCGACAAAAGGTTGCTGACCCCTGCTGTATATGTTTATCCATCTGTCCAAAAATTCGAGCTATTAATATCAAGGATAAAATATGTATAGCAGAGAATATTGTTAGTTGTAAATTGTCGTAATATCAATCCTACATAATATAATTTGGCATATCGAATGTCTCAATAATTCTAACAAAAATATTTCATTTTGTATGAGTTCATATACAAATGTCTTTCAAGCGGAGTTCAAGAATTTGTTCTTTATAGACACCGATTGATGTCTTCGCTGAAGTATGTAAGCATGTATGTAAGCATTTGTGGGTATATATCAATAATACTAAAAAAACAAGCGGATGAGTATAACCTAAACAAAACATTTTTCACAAGATAAGTCCTGAGACAAATAAATAATGGTAAATAAGTGAAATATGATAGGCATCATTAAAAGCGCTTTCTCCTATAAATCAAAATATTGAAGCGAATTTAGATAAATTTCCCCGAGCAAAGGTACTTTTGCCGAGCATATCTATCCCGTTTTCAAATGGAAAAATAGCCCATTTCTCCTATTTAACGTCAGGTAAATTCGCAGATACGGAAATGGTTTTATTTTATCGGAAAGATTGTAAATAATAACAGATTGAACCGCTTTGCTATTATTTACACGTTATTGTATATCACATTGAAGAATAGTATAAGCATATGGGCCATGATCGTAAAGAGGAAATATGAATAGTTAGTCAATAAATCACTATTATTTTACAAAGTCGTTGGTATATACTGTATCTCGGTAAGATTAGCGACTCTAAATATTTTCTCAAATATCGAAATCACATAACTTGCATCTTCAAAGCTTTATTTACCGTATTATCCACAGATAACATAGGGCATGAATATTTCATTACAGTTTGTGCAAATCTTGTTTCGCGGGTTCAGGAAATTAGCTTCAGGTAGAAATTTGATGAGACGATTTGGAAAGGTTCCGTGAATTACGCTAAATCAAAACATAAATCGATAAAAGTGGCGTGTAGCATAGATAGCCATTTTGTAACTTTAATTTGCATTGTAGAGAGCCAGGTATTTTTATTTTAATTTATTCGGCCCTGAATAAGAGAGTAGGAAGATCCGATTGCCAATATTTTACGCAGAAATAGTGACTTAAAATTATGACAAAAAAATGCGTTTTTCCGTTCAAACTCATATCCGATCAATAGAGTGGTCAAGAAAGCCAGGATGGCCATACGCCGCTGGTTTAGTCCAGTTCCTGAATAATGTGTTATACGCTTCGAAAAATACTGAGTGGTGTTTTGTAGTATCAAATGCTCAACATATACTAAATGGAGTCGTGTTAATTTTAACGAATCAATTAACCGTATATTCAGAGATTGGATGGCATACAACAGAAAAGTCAAGTTAACATCGATTTGCTAACCTTTGGAATTATGAAAGGTTGAGTGTTAATTGGATGTCAAAATAACAATTAAAAGTTTTCAAATAGAATATCAAAAAATGTTCATATCCATTATAAATGGCTAAGAATATACTTCTTTCGATAACCCTGCGATCGGACCAATATTTATTCTTTTATTGTATCATGATCCAACATTTAATAAAAAACTTCCAATTTCATGCTTTTAGTTCACAATTTCACAGTCGTTCAATATATTCTTAAATATTATTTAGCTGCTCAAAGCGACCGAGAGTGGATTTTAAAAAAAAACAATCTCTGCAAACCTGGATTTATTGAAACATTAAACATTAAACTGCAAAATTGCATTGCCCGGAGACCAAAAAAGTGATATACGAGATCATATGAAGCCCTGTATGAGATAACACTGATCCCGCTATAAAAAAGACAGAAAGACACTCGGGTGCGAAACAATAAAAAATGTCCCTTAACTCGTCCACCGTGCCAATACAACCAAGTGCGAGCGATGGACAGCGCTTTTCAGATGTTTATGCTGATACAACCCAACAACTGTCCCCGGGTAATATTCTCTACCAAACAAACGAGCACACCGACGAACTAGAAACTGGTCCGAATGACACTTTCGTATTTCTGAAGCCGAATATGGCATTGTTACGTATTCCTTCTTATTGTTACGCCCTTTTCAGTATTTATATCGCTTTCATGCTGACCTGGAATCGACGACGAAATTACGAAGTCCCCGGAAAACGAGTAGAAATGAGGAAAAAATTATTTTGGAAAAACATTGGATTTTCTGCCGCATTTTTGCAGCGTATTTCTCATCGGGGTATTTTCTCTACAGCAGTATTTCATTCTGGGTGGAAAGCCTTCCTGGTACCAATTGCACATTATTGGGAAAAAGCGAGAATCTTCTGTATTGGCTTAACATTTCAGCTATATACGTGGTGTTATGGCTCCGACAGCGTTCAATATACGGAAAGTCTACTTTGAAGCACTTAACAACGAAAGTGACTTCATTCCTTAGCAACGCCGTTGGCGTCATGGTTGTGTTGTTACCGATTGTGAATTCGACCTTGTTTATAACAGCAACAGTGTGGCATAGAATCTATGGAATATGTTTTATTGAAAATCTCAGATTTCTACCTGGCGAAGTCCTTACAACGTCTGAATTTATTGTTCCTGTGGTGTTACCGTCCACCTTGCTTGGTCTATTTGTTTGGCCGTTATTGCGCCACCATCTGACTACGGGAAAAGACTTTCAAGGGAGTAATTCAGTTCTACCAACAATTCGAAAAACTGCCATCCTTACTTTTTGCTGCCTCGTAACTGATATGGCGGCAATGACTTGCAATTTGACAATTTCTATTTTTTATAGTTTTATCATGCGGCAGACTTCAGTCTTCACAAACCTATTTTTCCTAAACCTTGCATTTACTGACTGGAAAAAGGTTATGTTCCCTTGTTTTCGAACAAAAAGTTCAGGGATATGGAAGAAGCATGTTCGTTCGTCATGGTCAGAAGCGGCTATTGGCATATGAAACACAACAGTAGTTGAAAATGGAAGACAATCAAGCGGCTTTCTTGGAGAGCGCAGTATTCGATATTATCAGAATGAACACGCTGCAAATTAATATTAACGAAGTAATACTGCTTCCTTACGAATTATTTTTCATTCTTATATTGTTTATTCACTTAAATGATTCATGCCATCAAAATATTCGTGTATTTATTCCTCAGTTATTTTATCTTTAAACTTGCAGTAGTCTGCAGTCTGAAAGTATAGAGCGGTTGGCACTGTAATTGCTCAAAACACGGCCTTCCAGAGATTAGTTTGTACCAGGTGTGGATCTCTGTCCATTACTGACGCATACAATGAGCTGCAGCTAATAATCAAAATATGATTACTGGGTTCCAAAGCTTCTCTAGGACGTTTAAGGAATATCTAGAGACGATTTGTTCGAAAGCGTATTTTCGTCCGCGAAAGTAAGCGTTCTCGGAATTTTAATATTCGATTCAGTTGACCCACGTGAACATTTTCATCCTGCTCTGTCCAGCCGTTTGGACGCTGCATCTGGACAAACAGATAGGCATACAAAAAGAATGGGAATAGGGGTTTCATAGAGCGGATATCAAAAAATACAAACGCAAATGAATTAGGCAACATACTAGCGCATACTGATTGCCGAATACAATTGTTTTATAGTGTTATTAACATACAGTATATTTGAATAACTTACCAACATCATTGTGAAACTTTAGAAGAGGTTTCCCAATGCCCAATCTAAATCCAATTTCGTCAAAATCGTGAAGGAGAAATCCGTTGTCCAATGCAAAAAAATCTGAAAGTATGAACAGAGGGAAAGCATTAGCAAGACAATAGCGGAAGAAGTCTTGGCCTCGTGGCACGCGACATTTGTGTGATGTCATAATTTGAATAGTATTAAATGAATAGCATTGATAACGGTAACTACTCGAATATTTTGGAATAAGTTTGTACATTTAAACACTGTAACTCGCGGGATCACATTTAAAATAAATGTAATCAATTTCGCAATGTCAAATTATACGAGGAAAGTTTATGCGGTCAAGGGTCGGATAACACAATCTCTCAAGCTGCAGTACCATCTTATGGCTTAAAATTATAGGCTGCTAAAATAAAGCTGTTAACCTGCCCACATCTAGGCATCTAATTCACATTCAGACATATAAATTTAAATTTTTGTTTTATTCGGAAATATCTAATTGCCACTTTTCTTCTGCTGCTGTTCCCTGGATCTCAACAAGTCCGGAGTTATTATTAATAAAATCTGTAGCTGCATAACTTAACTTGTATCAGTGGGTGAAGAAGTGTGATTGAGTACATTCATTTTGACATGAATAGACTATGAATATAGGCCCTTCCCTTAAATAGCGCAATTTTATGCCTAATTTATCGATAGAAATAAATCTCTCCTATACGTTTTTAAAATGAATAATAATCCATGTTTTGCAGTTATTTTGAATAAAATGTTTCATTTATAAGTAAATGGATATCGATTTTCATATTTTGTATGCTTGAAAATCTTGTAATTTTCTACTTTGTAATTTTGTTTGTTTAAAGGAAAATAAAAGACATACTCCCAAAATAAGCCCTAGTGTTATTTTCGGGGAAACACGATAGTTCATCTGCAGCGTTTGGGATCATCATCATATAGCGAGTGAATGCTTATTATTCTAAGATGATACGGGATCTAACACTGTGTCGTGTGAGAGCGTTTATAAATTGATCAATATGTTGTGTGTTATTTTTGTCAATTCTTCACTGCTGGTTGCGTTGTGTTTTCCTAATAATAATTCACAACGATATGCGATCACCCGATAATAATGTTTGCAATTATGTTCCGACATGAATAACATCCTGCAAATTGTACAGGAAATTATATTTGCGCTGAATTCGGTCATCTGTCGAGTCGCATTTCCAACCTTTTCGTAGCGAACCCCGTGCTAGAGCGTTCGTAGGATAGTCAGTTAGTCATATTTGCAGTAACAAAATAACATCGTGCATTCGGACAATATTGAAAGAAGAGTTATTACTCATCGATATTAAGATCGGTAAGTATGTTGATAGGTATTTGTTTGTTTGTCTGCTAGATGCACGCGATATCGCAAGAGAGCGAGGTTTAATCTCCACCAAATCTTGCATGTATATAAGTCTTCGGTCTCTGACCGATATTCTCGTTTTAAATTAGCTTCATCTGTGTATATGGAAACTTTATCAGAAAGAATGTTGCCCAAGTTTAGCCGAGTAAAGCAGACGTATATTAATATTAGCAAAATATAATTGAAAATGAGCATATCATAAATAAATTCAGCAGAAACGTTCATTTTTTAATAAGGTATTTAAATTTAATGTAATAAATTTTGTTCATATATTCAAAACATGTTCATAATGTATAGACAGCGCAATAGAATAAATTATTTACTAGTGATACATACCACGTTTACTATATCTCGTTTATTGTGGCTTTTTCCTTGAAACATGTTCATTAAATACAAGATAACATAATGAATTATTTCCTAACCATACATATTTAAAGCAGTACAGTTACTATCTTGTCTGTGGCTTTTACACTATGTTTTAAATCCTACTTTGCATGACATTTATCCTTCAAAATGCGCGGAATTTCTGAAGGGAAGGAGCATAGCTGATAGCAGCTTTTTTTTCGCCACCTTATGCCTGACCCAACAAAGTATAAACACCAAACAATTTTAAATATAACAATTTTTTGTTCTCCCGAAGCATGTGCACCAAGAGGGCGCACAACCTGAACCTGGTACACATACTATGTTCAGGTTGTGCGCCATCTTGGTGTACATACTTCGGAAGCTCCCAATTTTTTGAGTTTGTCACTTTTAAACTATGCAGTACTTACCTGTACTACATATTTATTTCCTCATTCTCTGTAGATATATGTAACATATTTATATTTTCGATATTTTTTAGTACATACAAGAAATAATACAGGCTATATATACTTTAGGGAAGCTTAATGTGTCGATGTGACTATTCCGAAATGAGTACAGCGGCTTTGGATGTCAATTGTCTCCAGTGAGAACAGAATTGCTCTACTAAAAGTTTTAAATAATCTATATATGACTTGATACAAGAAACACTGTTTAATTGTGAAAAACGTTTTTCAGCACAGCACCGAGTGATTACAGGTGGCAAATTCTAACACATACCGTCATATATATATATATATATATAAACGTGTTGGAACGTTTTACACACTCAAGTCAACATAATACCCAAATACGTTGGTAAAATTCTATTCGTGAGGATAGTTTGAAAATATTTCGACATTTTAGTTACTGAAACAATTTCAAATGCAGAGTGGACAGAAAGCTTATGTTTGTCAACACTGTGGAAAAAGTTTTTTGAAAAATCCTACCTTAAAACGGCATATTCGAATCCACACTGAGCCATATGTTTGCAAACATTGTGGAAAGCGTTTCTATTCAAATAGTCATTTAAAACAGCATGAACGAACTCATACCGGAGAAAAGCCATACGCTTGTAAACACTGTGAAAAGCGTTTCTCTTCATGTTCTAATTTAGTAATACATACTCGAACCCATACAGGAGAAAAGCCATACCTTTGTAAGCAATGTGGAAAGAAATTTTCTGTGAATTCAGTCCTTCAACGTCATATTCGAACCCATACAAGAGAAAAGCCACATGCTTGTAAACACTGTGGAAAGCATTTTGCTACAAAGGAAGATTTAAAAACCCACATCCGAACTCACACTGGAGAAAAGCCATATGCTTGTAAACACTGTGGAAGACGTTTTTCTGGAAATTCTGAATTAACTATCCATGTCCGAAGACATACTGGAGAAAAGCCATATAGTTGTGACCACTGTGTCAAGCGTTTCTTAAGCGCCTCCGATTTCAGAAGGCATACTCGAATCCACACTGGAGAAAAACCCTATGATTGCAAATATTGTGAAAAGATTTTCTCAAACACTTCTGATTTAAAAAGGCATATTAGAATTCATACTGGCAAAAAACCGTATGTTTGTGCAATGTGTGGAAAACCTTTCAAGCAAAATGGACAATTACAAGTACATTCACGCGAAGTAAAAAACAATTGCAAAAATTGTTTAGTCTTTCCTGTATGAAAGGTGCGAAGTTATAATGTACTGTAAATTGTTTCAATTATAACGGGAAACAGCAAAAATGTTGCGGTCTGTTTTGCATGTTGCTGTCTGTTGTCCAAGAATTTTCAATTTACTGAAAAATTTTCGGAACTGTTTTATTAATTAAAATATATACCAATAATAAACAAAATACTATATTTTCATCTGCATAAAATGCGATAAAAGTAGAATCGTCGAAAACAAATCGACTAATATCAGGTCTGTGGTAAGTTCGTTATGATTAAACTTCCAACACAAATCTTTGGACATTTTGAGGTGGGGCTAGAGTAATTAGAACGCTCCTGTTACGGTTGAACGTACGATTAGTAAAAATAAAATATTATAAATTGCGAATTCCACAGTGTTGTAGCGACATTTGGTGTGATACTTACTCTATATTAACTTGTTCAAGCACTATTGGGCCTTTTCAAATAAAAAAAACGGTACTCGTGTAGTATGTGAAACAAGATGGTGGACACCACAACGTAGTATGTGTACCAGGGTAGGATTAGGCCATCATTTTATTCCAATTTTCCTTATTTCAGTTCTATTACGAGTTCCGGTACTAGCCAAGTGACTCCTGTAGTATTTGTACCTGAAATTATGGGCTAACCCTAACTCGGTCTATATACTACGTACCGGTGTCCGCCATCTTGGTTCACATACTACGGGAGCTCCAAAAGATCAATGGTGAAGAATAGAATAAAATAATCCGATTTGGTAGTTTTTTATGTATAGATGAGATATAGAACGTATTAATATACCAGGATTTATTCTCTTTGGAGTGTATAATATTTATCCATTTATCATACCCAAACACCCACGGGAGATAAGCCATACGCTTGAAAACACTGTGAGAACAGTTTTTCAAAAATTCCAGCTTCAAAAGCCATATCCGAAATCATACTGGCGAAAAGCCACACTTACCCACACAGTTCTAAAACCTATGGAAAGTGTACGACACAGACTGTCGTTTTGAAATTTCATATTCGAATCCATACTGGAGAAAAAGCCGATGAAGGTAAATATTGTGCAAAGTGTACAGTAGCATTTTACATAGTCGAAAAATATAAATCCAATCTTTTGCGATATACATAAACAGTCCCAATGACTGTTTCATATAGTATAAAATCTTATGCTTCTTGTGGGTTTTGAGATATGAGATAAAGTCTATTGCGTTTGAAACAAGGCCGTAAGTCGAAAGCCCGACTTTCCTGATAAGAGAGCGTTCGCGCGCCAGGTGGAAACCCACTTACAGGGTTCAAGCGGTTAATGAACTGTAATTTAAAGACTTCACCAATCATATTGAAGTAAAATCTCAGTGAGTAACACTAATGTCATGTCGCGAAATACATCAAGATGGCATGATAATCCGATGTAGAAAATTAGTGATCGATATATCGACAAAGTGAGTATCAAGAATACAAGGTAAACTGTTTATATTTTCCAGACTCTAAGATTAATACTTTATAAAGAAGTGAGCAAATTGGCTTTTAAACTAGGAGATTCATGATATAGGTCCGAAACAGGAAGAAATTATGAGTTAAAAAATTGGTATAACATACTGAAATCTGAAGTTCATCTGAGAATTAATTGGCGAAATATTGACTTAAACAAAGATATGCTAATCTTCGATGAGTCAAAAATGAAAATTATGATAAAGAATTTTGCCGCAATAATAGCAAATACCCGAGGGACAACTTCAGAACTAGGCACTTTGAGTTCACAGATCATTTTGAGCCCTGTGCCATCGTATATCCGGTTATCGTCAGCGCTGGATCCATATGCAGTCTGACAATTTCGTGTAGTAGTTTAGTAAATTGGGGCGCGATATACTGCTTTATTTGTATACGGTTTTCACAATTCAGGGATAGCTTGTAGAGTAGTTTATCTTCTATACCTGTCTGATATGCCCGTATTTGGGCAAGCCGTGGATCAGTTATTATTGACATTTTATATCTTGTAACTTTAAATTTGCTTCCGACTCGTTTACTAAATCAGTTAAACAGAAGCCATATGCGTTCGATAACAGTAGATTCAGATATTTATTTCGTCGTGCTTGAAATATTGTACACACAAAATTGAGCGGACATAATGATGAAAATATAAAATAAACAAACATACAATATTTCCGCAATTGACGCGGGACCGCGAAAGACTATAAAGTAAGTCATCGTGTCAGCGACACCTTGTTTGCTGAGTTGAAAAGCAGATGAAATCAAACAAACGTTACTAAATAAAAATTATATCATCATGACTTGGTGAATAAATCCAATTTTGAAAATATAAATTAAATATTGCGCAGTCAAATAGAAACTCACTTTTGCTTTGTAACGTCATGATCGGTGAGCGTAAATACAACAAGGAGATTGCTTATTAACACGACGCGATATAGCGTAGTTAGCAACCACAAAACAGGAAAATCGTTTTATGTGTTTACAGATACAGAAAATCAATGAAATTTAAATTCAACAAAAGAAACATTAATTTAATAGTTGGAATAAGCCACACTACAGAAAGTGAGTTGGATAACGCATGCACAATAATAAAAATATTAAGTATATGCTTTTAGATACGGTAATCTATCGTTGCCGACGATAGAGTAACAAGCGTTAAATAAAAATTATGTCATCATGACTTTCTCAGTAAATTCAATTTAGAAAATATAATTTCAATTTTGTGCGAGTCAAATAGGGGGGAAAATGACTCTAAAGTAGTCATGTTTTGCATTGTAACGTCACGGTCGGGTGAGCCTAAGTACAACAAAGAAAATTGCTGACTAACATGACGCGATGAAGCTAGTTAGCATTAGCAACCACGGATATCGTTTTTTAAAAACCATTAAATTTTAATTCGGCAAGAGAAACATTATGATATCAACAATTGGAGTAAGCCACACTACAAAAATTGAGATAAGACATATACAATAATGGAAATATTAAGTATATGCTTTTAGATACGGTAACCTACCGTTGCCCCAGTCTGGATTTCATGGACTTTTTGAACGATAAATCGGGCGTGCAATCAGAAGCAAATAAGAATTCCTGGCGTGCAATTATAGCTCACGGCGTGCAAAACAACTGCGCCCGCGTGCAACTGACTTTGACATTAGATACCTCTCAATACATCCGCTTAAAATTACCGGTATCGATAAAAAATACGTTAAATCAGAGCAAAAATGGACGTTTGACCTTTGACCCCAAACATTATTTCTACTGTTTGTCGCTAATTTTGAGAGCGTTTGTCGACTTTGGATACCGGTAGTGTTCAGTACATCCGCGTAAAATTATCGGATAAAAAATACGTTGAACCAGAGCAAAATGGACATACTTTGTCATTAATTTTGGGAGTGTTTTTACCTATATTTAACGGATAAAAATACGTCAAATTACAGCAAAATAGACGTTTAACTTTTGACCATAAACATTATTTTTATACTTCGTCACTAATTTGGAGAGAGTGTTTGTGCGACTTTAGATACCGATACTGTTCAGTACATTCGTGTAAAATTATTGTATGAAGAATACGCTAAATGAGAGCCGTACCTGTCCAGCGTTGGTGCGAAGGCGATCTTTTCATCCATAACTATTCTCACGGGATTCCTATCGTTCGTCTTTTTTGCTTCGCATTTTTCGATCAGACCAAATCTTGCAAGCTAGTATTAGTCGACAATTGTGGAGTTATAATATTTTGGCATAAATTACTTAAATTACTGGATTATTGATTTTAAAACCATTTAAACCGATTTACATTGGTGAGCGATTGCAAATTTTCGGCGTGCAAAATTGAATTCGCTCGCGTGCATTTTTGCGGAGCACTAGCGCCCTCGGGCGTGCACCTGCCATGGAATCCAGACTGGCCGTTGCCGGCAGAGTCACAAGCGTTAAATCTGAGTGCCGGTACCGTACAACCGTACTAGTAATTTTGTGATTTGGGAGGTTCATAATATTGAACATTATACACTGACAGGTATAGAAATATGGACAGCATCATTTTACCATTCAATATATACAATACAGGGTGCCGCTTCGGTCTGTCAGTATGTAATATACCCACATCGCCACATGTTTCTACTTAAACTTGTGATATACCTTAAAAAATTCTCCCTATATCCTACTCTACTATGGAAAATTTTTTCATTTTCAAAATTTATAAACCATAAATTTTATTAAAATATTACATAACCCCCTGCCGCTCATAGGTGGACCACTAATATCTTATTCAGTAATTTTAGCGTAGTTGAATCACATCGTTACTGCAATTGCAGAATAATAAAAAAGCTCACATAAACCATATCAGGCATAATGAAAATTGAGATATACAACTATTTTTTGGAAACAGAACGTAAAACTGACAAATAACACGCAAAACTATAAAAACGAGGCAATGTTTACAACCCTGCTTGAACATCTGTCTGAGCAGCTGCAGAAACTGCAATTATTTCTTATTGGGTATGGAAAAAGTCAATGTAACAAACAAGGAAATCGATGCTCCAGGAAATCCTAATGTTAAGTAGCTAAGTACATGTAATAGGCTATTTTTCAGTTGTTACACACTAAATATTGTATTTCATATGATTCTAATAATAGACACTAGAATAGACTTGAAAAAAGCCAAAAAAACACCAAAAAGCCAAACGGAAATTTTGACGCCAAACGCGATGGAAAAATGGCAAATTTGGCGTTAAAAAGGCCAATATGGCAACCCTGGTGGTGTATACTGGTGTGCGGCAACTGGAAGTAGTGCTGTTTCTATGTTTATGACATAACAAGGTGTTCCCTGAGCTTCTTTTGTACATATGAATTTCATCAAATTGCCTCAGTCCTGATGAAAGTACTGCATGTCTAACGCTCGATGTGGCTATTGGTTAATATTAGGGCTGGGAATAGTTAACCGATTTCATTTGGTTAACGGTTATGATTTATCTTAGGTACAAATCATCTTTATACCGTACAATTTCGTCAAATATGATTACGACATCGCAAATTTATCTTTTGCGGCGTTTAATTCAAAAAAAATATTACTAACTGTGTGGGTAAGGGATCAATAAATGTAAAAAATAATTGAAGCACCAAGGTTGCTAATAATAAAAATTTACAATGATCAGTTTTCGGTCAATTTCGAAATATATTGTTCACGATTTCATTGCAAAATCGGATAGTCAATGTCATACAATAAGTGTGCAGTTGATGCCGTTTTTCTTTATGATATATATATCGAAGTAGAATTTGCACATAGAACACTCAAAATTTGTCACAGAAATGACGTTTAATAACGGAATCGGGTTTTCTAAAATATTTCCACATGCCCGAACCACGCTGCCTATTTTTTGCAGCATAGGAATCATGAAACTATCTCGATTCGTGAATGATTTCGAGCGATACCGGGATAAGAAAGCTGTGCCATCCTTGCTATGCATATCTAGCATGTTTGTGGATTCGATTGTCAATTTTTTTCTCCTAAATTTTGACGTAATTAATTTGTGGCTTTTTCCAAACGTGCTCATTCGAGACAAAATAAAAAAAAGAAGGCTTGAAGGATTCTGATCAAAAAAGATTCGATTCCGCTTCGAAATCCTGAAGTGACAACCCCTATCTATGTTACGGAAACTCATCTCGTGTTTTTGTTGATATTTTCAAACAGATAAATGCCAAAAACTTGTACTGTAGTTTCGTAAGAGAAATTTTTTTTGTGAATATAATCGCTCGCTTTGTATTTTTCAGACTACTACATTTAAATGCACGTTCGTTTAGTGCGGACTTTAACAAGAGTGTGAACCAATAATCTTTACTTGAATCCAGATTCCAAAGACCCGTATGAATAATGATTTACAGGAACACTTGATAACAGGAGGCACATTCAAATTCATACTGGATAAGGGACATTTATTTCTAAAAGTTGTCAGAAAAGTCAATAGAATACTCAAATACGAATTCATAGTGCAAATTTAAAATTTAGCTGCAGATACATTGGCAAATGAATGGAGGAGAGAAAATCAACGTTTGTAAAGACTGCGGTAAGCGTTTCTCTTCGAGTTCTCACCTAAAAAGACATATGCGAAGTCATAGTGGGGAAAAGCCACATCCTTGTGAACACTGTGGTAAGCGGTTTTCTGAAAAATCGTATCTAAAAAATCATATACAAATTCATACTGGAGAAAAGCCATTTGCTTGCGAGTATTGTGATAAGCGTTTTGCCTCAAATTCTTACCTGAAAATCCATATCCGAAGTCATACTGGAGAGCACCTGTACGCTTGTAATCATTGTGAAAAAGGTTTTTCTATGAGCTCTGGTTTGAAAAAACATATTCGAAACCATACTGGTGAAAAGCCCTACCCATGTAAACTGTGTGGGAAACGTTTTTCGTTAAAAACTGGTGTAAATCGACATATCAAAATTCACACAGGAGAAAAACCACATGAATGTAAAGACTGTGGTAAGCGATTTGCTGAAAAATGGAACTTGAAAAAGCATTCCCAAACTCATACTGGGGAAAAACCGTATGCTTGTAAATATTGTGGAAGATGTTTTTTTACTAAAGATGTTTTGAAAGCCCATGTTAGAATCCATACTGGAGAAAAACCATTCGATTGTGACTACTGTAAAGCGAGTTTCTCGGGCTATTCTTCTTTGAAAAAACATATTCGGATGCACACTGGAGAAAAACCGTATAAATGTAATTCTTGCGGGAAGTGTTTTGCAGACAGTGGCAGTTTAAATGGACATATTCGAATTCATACTAGCGAAAAGCCATATCCTTGTAAACACTGTGGAAAGCAGTTTTTGCTAAATTCTAACTTGAATATTCATATACGTACTCATACTGGAGAAAAACCGTATGCTTGCATGCATTGTAATAGGCGTTTTGCTGCAAATGCTAACTTGAAAAGCCATATCCGAACTCATACTGGAGAAAAACCCTACTCTTGTGAACATTGTGGAAAATGTTTTTCTGGAAGCTCTTATTTGAAAACCCATATTCGGACCCATACAGGAGAAAAGCCATACGATTGTAAATACTGTGAAGCAAAATTCTCGGACAAATCCGCTTTGAGAAGGCATATTCGAATTCACTCTGGAGAAAAACCGTATGAATGTATTTATTGTGGAAAGTGTTTTCCAGTCAGTAAAAGTCTTCGTGAACACATTCGAATTCATACTGGAGAAAAACCATATTCTTGCACGCATTGTAATGAGCGTTTTGCTGCAAATACTAACTTGAAAGTCCACATGCGAACTCATACTGGAGAAAAACCCTACTCTTGTGAACATTGTGGAAAATGTTTTTCTAGAAGCTCTGATTTGAAAATCCATATTCGGACCCATACAGGAGAAAAGCCATACGCTTGTAAATACTGTGAAGCGAAATTTTCGAATAACTCCGCTTTGAAAAGGCATATTCAAATTCACTCTGGAGAAAAAAACGTATGAATGTAATTATTGCGGGAAGTGTTTTGCAGTCAGTAGAAGCCTTCGTAGACATATTTGAATCCATACAGACGAAAACCGTATGTTTGAATTGCACTGACTCACTAGATCAGGGTGGTACAAATCCAGACCCGCGGGCCACATGTGGCCCGCCGCTTTAATATCTGTGGCTCACGTCACATTCGGAGAGCAATCAAAAAATCGAATTTCGTGTTGTTTCGTAATAAAATTATTCAGAAAAATCTTTTGACATATTGTTAAATCACTAATGTCACTGAATCGACTAGTGTTATGACTAGCTGAGGCAACTAGCGAAGTTGAATAATGTGCTTGACAGTCTGAATTATTATCTACCTTTCTATCTTTTTGGTTGGGGATAAATGCTAACAATATAGCCATCATAGAAAACTAAAAATCGAATGCGGATTCTATTAGCCTGGAGGGCTATGTCTGATGACTATGTGTTTGCACAACAAAAGTGTTTGTTTTTGTATTGCAGTGTTTACCTATTCTCAGCACTATTGTGGCCCGCGAACAATGCAAAATTAATTTTTTTTGGCCCGCAGAGCCGACAACCTTGGACCACCCTGCACTAGATGTAGAAAATAATTGCAAATATTGTTGATATTCTCTTTGAGTATGAAATGTGTTGTAAAGTTGTATTGTATTGTAAATTGTTTAAATATAGTCGGAAGCACCAGAAAATGTCTGCAGTTTGATTTGAGTAGAGATTAAATATACGGGCTTAAAGCTGTACTGATATACGCATGGATCTTCCAATAACTATTGTTGGACGCTCGTGAAGTAAAACTATAAGCCTTAATTAGTACAGAGAAAATTCAAAGAATATTTAAAAGTTATTTTATATGAGCCATTCCTATTTAATAATTGCTGAAAGTTTGATGAGGATTGCCCGGTGGTCAAGGAAATGTTATTGAAACTTTTATCCGAATGTGTAAATAATGCGGATATCAACTTTGTAAGTATTTTTTACAGTCCGAGGCGCCACATCAAATGTCAGTTTAAGCTCTGTCAATTATGGCCGAGTAAATGTCACCGTAGTGGAAACTTCGCATCACTATGTTCTGCAACACGCTTCAGTTTGGAAAGTAAAGAAACACCTTCGACTTGGTGCTCCGGTAGTATTCGTACCAATATGGCGCACAACCTGAACATAGTATGTGTACCAGGTTAGGGTTAGTAGGTTGTGCGCCATCTTGATACGAATACTACGGAAACGCATTCGACTGCACCTTGTAACATTGCCGAATTTCACCCCGCTGTCGTATGGGTAAAACTTATTTACAAATCTTTTTTTGGTGTAGCAGTGTCTTGAGTTACACCTATTAGGGATGCCACTTTCGGATTTACGAATCGGATCTTTTCCGAATCGATGCGAATCAGATTTACGCGATTCGGAAAATGAGAGCGATTTGCCGAAAAAAAATACATTGAACGTTTGTTAATCATTGTTTTCGGCGGCATTAAATATGCGGAATGCGTTTATGCGGCACTCCAAATAACACCAAATCACGGGACCGAAAAAAAAACATAGAACGTTTGTTAATCGTTGTTTTCGGCAGCGTTAAATCTGCCGAATGTGTTTATGCGGTACACCAAATTGCGGGACCGAAATAAAAAAATTGAACGTTTGTTAACCGTTGTTTTCGGAGACGTTAAATCTGCCAATGCGTTTATGTGACACTCCAGATAACACCAAATTACGGGACGGAAATAAATAATGAAAATGAATTTTTCGTGATTGACTTTTTACTGATCTTACTGAATTTAAATGAATCGTGTTAGGTGTACCTGAAAATTCGTGACAATTTTGATTAAAATTTTCAACAGCACACCTGCGCTGCGACTAAGTTATTGTATGCCCTGGCATGATTGGATAAAGATTCAGCTACCGACGTCTAGATAATATATAATTTTGATTGGAATTCAATTCAAACTTTGTTTTGAGTGCAATATTTCGCGTACATTTGAAGAGAACTATTACTGAATGAGTTCAGCGGTCGGCAATGTTAATTGATTTTCATGTTTCTCATCCTAAAATATATATTTATTTTGTTTGCGTTTGTCAGGCGGCTTCCACTCGACTGGCGATAAACGAAATCACAAATAGACATATACGTGTTTTTTCAGCTGTTACATAAAAAATGTAGTATTTTGTTAGCGCGATACAAGCGAGAATAAAACATTTCGGATTATTTTTAGCAAATGTCATAACGGACAGGTGGGAGTAGATAACACTTGAGTAATAGCAACTTGTGTACTGTTTTACATCAACACGTGCCAGATTTCATACCAGACCAAGCATACTGTGAGAATGTCGTCTTACTTTAGCCCCAGCGACCATGTGTGATCGAGATACAGCGTCGACCAATGATCGCTCTTCAGCGCGGCGTTCATTATGCACATTTGAACTTTTTGAATTACGAAATTAAACGTAGTCCACGATAATAATAAAGCGTGAGTTAGCCAATAACGCTGTTATCCACAAATAATATTGTCTCTAATATTTAAGTTTTTGTTCGCAATCGTAGTCAGTTGAACGATTGTTTTTTCTCGTAATTAAATTAATCGCGGTTAATTTTATCGTCTTAGAATATTCTTGCAAGCATTTCCCATTTTTAGTAATTCAGATGCAATTAGAATGTTTTTGTCGTAGGAAAGCAATGCTGTTACTGTGTTTATGACATAACAGCACAACTGTTCCCCCCACGCTTATTTTCTCATATGAATTCCATCAAATTGCCTCAGTCCTGATACAAGTACTGTATGTGTAAAGCTGCACAATAATAACCCAGTATTGTAAGACTCACAGATAAGTTGCAACAGAAAGTTTTTCATCAATATATTTTTTGATGATATCTATGACCTACATTTTTTTTATCTTGATGGAAATAAGTGTGGCTTATTCACTGAAAAACCCCTTGTCATCATTGCTATCTAGCAGATTCCATTTTCAGGCTTTCTCTTCTAGATTTGAGCTTTTTTGTGACTTTGAGCAAAATATGCGTGCAATGAAAAAAAAAGCTTAATGGAATCATATTCGGAAAGATTCGATTCGAAAAGTTTTGATTCGAGATTCGATTCGAAAAAAATGTATCCGGAAGTGGCAACCCTAATACCTATACAGACGAGACTTCCTTCACTGATCATTTTGACATAAATTTATCACATTACTAAATATAATGCCACATCTAATGCTCGACACTGCTAGAAAAGTCAATTGCTCTAATCTAATGTGTTGCTACAGAACACAATACATTGTGCAATTGTCACAGACCATAATGTCTGTTTTCATGTTTATATACGATTCTGCTGGCCACTCATTCGATGCTGTGTGAACATCCGAATTTATATTATAATTTGAGACTCCGATCACCCATTACACGTGCGAGAGAATATATTTCTCCTGAACTGTTCTTCAGCTGTTGGCTGAAAGTCGACCGCATACATTTCGGCTATATCAGTGCGCAACCTTTTTTAAAACGGTACACTCTTTTTATTCTCACTCAGAGTCTGGTACACTCCAACCAATACATCTTTGTCATGGGAAAATCAAGCTGGAAATACAGTAATTGCTTGATTGCTGCTCACACGATAATTTTTTTATCATGCCGATTTGTGTTTCTGAATGAGACGATTTAAAAACGACTAAGGTCTATTGCTGACCGCATTGTAACCAAACTTAGAAATCGCGGGGGCGACGAGGTATTTATTTTTTTTTACACACATGCGTGATTTGTAAAACATTTCCAACGCAAATTTAGTGCATCGACCGTATTTTATGTGATCGGTCATTGCAATAAACACAGGTGGGAAGCACTACGTTGGATGTTTCACGTATTTGCTCAAGAAGAAATCATAGTGGATCAAGTATATCTCAGTCCGAGATATATAGGCTATAATTCATACGAGTAAAAACTGTTCTTTTGTGAGATAAAATGAGAATTGAAATGAAACACTATAAGTGCAGTGAAAAATGTGCCAAATAATGGAATGAAGTGTTCAATATTACGTTATGGCGTTGAAATAGATCACTTGGAAAAATTTGTTTGAAAACATCATCGGGTTAAGCTTATTTAATTATCTTGTCCACGTGTTTTTAATTTTACTATTTTATAATATTTTACAATTATTACCGTATGTTCGAGATAGTCTAGTCACGGCCACGACAATAAATCTATGAGGAAATTGTGTAGTTGAACAAAATTTAAATTAATTGAATCACAATATTTAATACCTGTGTAGGGGAATTGTGTCCAAATTTAGCTTGACGATAAATAGTCTGAATTTATAACCGTGCCGAGAAGTAAGTGTGCTGTTAAGAAAGACTCCGATTCTACCGTGTGATTTAAAACCGGAGCTTAGTTGCTCGTATTACTTATCGATCTCGATAAGTATGTTGATATGTATTTGTTTGTTTGTATGTTAGTTACGCGATATCTCACGAAAGCGAAGTCCAAATTTTGCATGTGCATTCATTATATCTCGGACCAGATCCTATAGATTTTGGAAGAATTATGTCGTATAATTAGCGAGTTATTAATAAATTAGTGATGGGACACGCGGTGAAGCAAATTCATTTATATCACACGTGCCTTATGCCTAATTTACAGCGATAAGATTATCAAAGCCTAATTTCTATGTCCATGAATTTTAGAAAAATGAATAGCATTTATGTGGGGGATTCTACTTTTTTAGAATCTATTCGAAATAGTCTATGGTTAAGGCCATCCCTGCTCATATGGTTTGGCTGGTTCCATTACGTTTGAACCCAGTACATTTGAACCCGCGTACATTTGAACCCACGGCAATTGCACCTGCATACTATTGCGCCTATGGGAATTTTTTTGTTTTGCAGATATTTGAACCCATACTAACCCTAACCCATGGGTTTTAGCACCCGCATACAGATTGAACCCGCGGATATACACATGGGTTCAAATGTACATGGTTCAAATGTACGGTCACCGGTTTGGCTAGCAGGGTGATAAAATAAATGAATGATTAGCCTACTTATCATATCAAATTGATACATTGAGTTACGTGCGCAAGATTTTGTACCAATATAACGACATATTTTGTATTTTACACGTTAGAAAATCCACTAATATTTGATTGATATATTTCTTCATAATTACTATGTACTATTTTAAAACATCAACAGAAAAATTTGGCTGCGAAAATAACCAAATTAGTTGAACGTTTACTGATAAATGATTCCCGTTTCTACTCGCGGGGGTGGGGACGCGCATGGCTCATAGTTCACGATATATCCAAGCAAAAAAACAATTTGAAAATCAGTATTCCGACTGATTTTTTAGAACATTCTGGATCATATCATAGAGTTCAATATACTGAAAATATCGGTCATCATTAAGCCGATAAATCTCCAGCAGAATGAGTCTAACACAAAATGTAAAAAGAGGTAGAAAGTCGAACTATGTTCAAACGGGGTGACCCAAAAACTTCCTATTTCACCTGAAACATATTGAATACTGTATAGGTTGCGTATCTATTTTGTTCCTTCAGTATACCTAACGTTTAGGTACTTCGAGGCTGCCTGGTGTATCCGGAGTCGATCGTTTATACAAAAGAATGGCTCCGAGCACCAAAAAGCGAGGTAACCACGGAAACGGCACAGCTGAGCTGAGACACCGAAAGCACAACTGAAATGTACTGTGATA